GACGAAGCGCGGAGTTGGGGGCGCAGGAGGTTTTTATGGCCAGGGAGGCGGGGCGGGAACGGGAGGCGGAGGAGCGTTGCCAAGACCTGTGCCCGCCGTGAAGGCGGTGAAAACCGGCCCGACTGCGGAGGAGAGGCTTCAGCAGAGGATCGCGGAGAAGCTGGAGAAGCAGGCGAAGGCGGAGAAGCTCGCCAAGGAAAAGGCGGCCAAGGCGGAGATGTTGGCGAGGGAGAAAGCGGAGAAAGCGGAGATCGCGGCCAGGGAGAAAGCCGAGAAGGCGGAGGCGGCGGCGAGGGAGAAGGCGGAGAAGGCGGCGAGAGAAAGGGCCGAGAAGGAAGCCGAGAGGGAGAGGAAGGCGCTGGAAAAGAAGCAGAAGCTCGAACGCCAGGCGGAGGAGAAGGCAAGGCTGCTGCTAGAGAGGCAGGCCGAGCGGCAGGCTGCACACGTCAAGAAGCTGGAGAAGCAGGTGTGTATGTTGTTTCGATTGGTTCGTTTTTGTATTTTCGGGTGGTGAATTTGATAGGGCGCGCTTGAGCGACAGGGGGGCAAGGAAGGCGCATTTAGAGGGGGTCCGGGACTATGTTGGCGATAGCCGTTTTGTCATGTCGAGTCAGGCTGGGTGCCTCATGGCTCCGTCGCCCCGACAGGGTGGGTAGAAGCAGTAGCGGTGCTTCGCCGTGGAGCGCCAGGTAAACGGAGCCCAAGCGAAAAGCGTTGACGGCACACCCGCGAGGTGGTATATACTACATTGTATTGATGGTGTGGATACACTTTTGCGGCAAGAAAACAGCAATCGAAAAGCGTGAACGTTAGCCAAGATCAGCCGCGCCAATACCAAAAACGCCAACCAAGCCTAAAGATGCATTTGACGAATGAGTCGGAGGGAATAACACCGGCTGTCCCGGCACCCCCCGGACAATGCTCATCGCCAAGAGCGAAGTCAAGGAAAGTGAAAGCCTACTATGTACAACGCCCAGTCTCGCCCAGAACGAACAAACCGCAGCCGTTTTTTCTCCCAGTCACTGCAACGACTTCAACACCCTCTTCGACTATTGAATTTTATCCTCAATGGGTAGTGTTTCTGTTGTTGTATGCATACTTTCTAAAAAATCGAAACGGTACGTAACCGACGAAACCAGCGCGAGATAGCGGAGGAGAAGGAGCGCGCTCGCAGGGCAAAGGAGGCGGAGCGCCTGGCCAAGCTGGAGCAGAAGAGGCTGGAGAAGGAGGCAAAGGACCGGGAGAGAGCGGAGCAGCAGGCCAGGGAGCAGGCCAGGAGAGGCATCGAGAAGGAGAGGGCCAGGCTGGCCAAGCGGTACCCGCTCCCGGACGAGGTGCGTGTGTGTTTTTGAGGTAGCATCGACCGCGCTATCCGGGTGATCAATGACAAGACAAGGCGTCTGTCTTGTATACTAGCGGGATGGATAAGAAAACGTCTTGGGTGTGTTTTTGGCTCTTGGTATACCGGGTTGTTGTTGTTGACCAGGTGTGTTTTTTGCCTCTTGCTGCACCCGGCTGTTGTTGTTGTTGTTGTTGTTGTTGTTGGTTTTGTTAAGTGCTGCTGTAAGGGGCGTTTTTAGTTCTTGCTGTGCCTTGGTGTTGTCGTTGTGGACGTTGCTAAAGCGGGAGGCCGGGGCACAGCTGTAACTTTCCAACGTGTAGTGTTTCAAACACATGATGTGAGAAATACTGTCCTCCTAGCGTTGTGTTTGAAAGCCATGGTTTGAAAAAATCTTTTCTTCTAGCGTTGTGTTTGGAAGACATGGTGTACGAAATACCTTGCTTCTAAATAGCGGAGCACGTGATCCAAGAAACGGTTTCCACTTGGACCTTACTAGTATGCTCTTTGCTGAGTGACTGGCACCACCCTCCTGTGCCCATGCACGGTGACCGCACCACAGGAGCTTCGGCAAGAGCAGCTCCTGATGGGCAAACAGCCGGCGCCGTGGCCGGAACCAGGGCAGCTGCCTTGCCCAAGGGGATTCCCGCCAAGCGCGTTCGGTGACGTGGTCAGTGCTTGGGCCTGCCTCCAGCTGTTCGGCACCCTGATGCACCTGAAGAGGTGCGGGTGGTAGTCCCATTGACTAAGGGAAGAGAGCACAAATGTGAAGTCTTTCTCGTGCGAGAACCTTGGTGGTGCGCCAAGGAAAATAACGGAAATGTGTTAAGAATGGGCGTCTAGAGTGGAGTTAATGGGACGGATACCGTTAACACTCGCACATGGGCGCATGTATTCATATGCACACACGATTTTTATCCCGGACATGAGGCTGACGTATTTGTATTGGTCCACCTTAAGGCGGTCCACGCTAGTCGAAAAGAAGCACACACACACACAGCCCGCTTCCGTTGGTGGTGGGTACTTGCACCACCGGTATCGTAGGTAGATACAAGTTGGAGGTTTTGCGAAGGGTCAACGTATGTGTCCGCGCCGACGTTGCACATGACCTGCTTGCCTACCCCAGGCGCCGGTGTCGACATTTGACGAGTTTCGTTCTTTTGTCTCATTTATCGCGATTTTCTGCGTGTGTGCGTTTGTGTCGTGATCCTTCGATGTTTCCCGACCGGCCGACCGGCCGACCAATCAATCCAACATATTGGACACGGCAGGTTCAGCCTGGATGAGCTCATGGTGGGGCTCGCCAACGGTGCTCCCGCTGTCGAAGCAAGAGACGGGTTGTCCCCTTACCAGCAACAGCAACAACAACACGACCACTTTGGCTCCGCGTGGGCGGGGCACGCTAGTGGTGGTAGTGCCCCCACCCCGTTCTTCTCTTCGCAGGCGGATGGCCCTCCCGACGATGCAGCGGAAGACCTGCTGGACATCATCCCCGCCCCGGTGGGGTCCGATCCCAACGAAGACGCCGGCGGCGTGGGGGGCTACGGGTACGGCATGGAGGGTTACCCCGATGATGCGGGGGGGGGGGCGGGTGGCGGGGGCGGCG